TTGCCAGTGCATCTGCGGAAGTAAGAAAAATTGATTCTTAGGATCAGATGCTGGTTCATGCTGTGTCCACAATTTTATTCCCTTTGTTCTGAAGCAGCGGGTGATAAGCCCATTTGCTTGCTGTTCCCAGGGGTTGAGCTGGTTCTGCTGCACAGCAGTTGGAGAAATCCAGTTCAGTAGACATTTATGGATCTCCCTTCATGTGCCAGGCAGCAGGAGGAGAGCCGGGGTCACAGGGACGAACACGCCTTGGTCCCTGTCTGCAGAAATTCCTTAATGTTTCCCAGCTCCTTCCATTGTGGCCGGCAGTTGTTGTTTGGGGAGGGTTTGGATTGTTTGCCTTTAAATTTTGATAAAATATACTCCCTCTCTCAGAAAGTTACTGTCTAAAATGTAAGAGCTTTTGTTTGTTAAACGGACAGGAGGTGAGGAGGTATTTAGAACTCGACAGTGGTGCAGACTGATCCTTTAATTCTGAGCCAGCTGTGTGAGACTCAGAGTTTGATGACATTTCATTCCTTCAGGAAGAAATAGAAAACATTTATAGGCTCTGAATGAAAGCATGAGGGTATATACACAACTGAAAGTCAACCCAGCTGCCTCTCCATTCACATTTGCTGGGACAGCATGTCTGTGCATCCATGAACTTACTTCAGAACGCTAGAGGTAGTGAGCCAGCGTTACAGCAGTGAGGGAGAGGGGGGAAATTACAGGGGAGAATTACAGAGTGAAGTGAAGTTAGCACCTGAAATGCCACTGCCCTGACCTGAGAGGTGGCCGGGCCTCGGGCAGGTTGTGGCTCTTTGTCCTCGTCCGTGAGACTGAGGATAATCAGCACCTTCCTCGTGAGGCTTGGCAGCCTTAAACGAGACAGCAGATGCGGAGCACATGCCTTTAAAGAGCCCGCAGTAAATGTGTCTCTTATTAGAGCAAACAAAGCCATTTAAAAACAGTCTTTTGTCTTGTTTTTGTTTTTCTTTTTACAAAGTTGTTTCCTTCTGGTACTTTTGTGTCCTGGCTTCTCAGCTGCACATTATTCCGTGGTCATTTTCCATCTCAGTGTGTGGTTCCTGTAACTCTTAGTGGGTGAGCCCTGATCCATGGTCGGTGTGGGTGTGCCCCTGGTCTGTGGTTGGTGTGGGTGCTCCGTGGTCCATGGTTGGTGTGGGTGCTCCGTGGTCAGTGTGGGCGCACCCCGGTTTGTGGTTGGTGTGGGTGGTCTGTGGTCTGTGGTCGGTGTGGGTGTTCCGTGGTCAGTGTGGGTGCACCCCAGTTTGTGGTTGGTGTGGGTGTTCCGTGGTCGGTGTGGGTGTTTTCTGGTCAGTGTGGGCACGCTCTGGTTCGTGGTTGGTGTGGGTGGTCCGTGGTTGGTGTGGGTGGTTCGTGGTCGGTGTGGGTGCTCCGTGGTCGGTGTGGGTGCTCCGTGGTTCGTGGTCGGTGTGGGTGGTCCGAGGTCGGTGTGGGCGCTCCGTGGTCAGTGTGGGCGCTCCATGGTCGGTGTGGGCACGCTCTGGTTCGTGGTTGGTGTGGGTGGTCCGTGGTTGGTGTGGGTGGTCCGTGGTTGGTGTGGGTGGTTCGTGGTCGGTGTGGGTGCTCCGTGGTTCGTGGTCGGTGTGGGTGGTCCGTGGTCGGTGTGGGCGCTCCGTGGTCGGTGTGGGCACGCCCTGGTTCGTGGTTGGTGTGGGTGGTCCGTGGTTGGTGTGGGTGGTCTGTGGTCGGTGTGGGTGCTCCGTAGTTCGTGGTTGGTGTGGGTGGTCTGTGGTCGGTGTGGGCACGCCCTGGTTCGTGGTTGGTGTGGGTGGTTCGTGGTTGGTGTGGGTGGTTCGTGGTTGGTGTGGGTGGTCCGTGGTTGGTGTGGGTGCTCCGTGGTCCGTGATTGGTGTGGGTGTACTGCTTCCCTGCTGAGGGACATTTGGTTGCTGCCAGGATTTTGGTGTTATAAATTGTGCTTTAGTGAACAGTCGTGTGTGTTGGGGGGTGTTCACTGGCTTCCTGGGAGACCTCAGGCTGGTTCCGTCATCCCTGTGTCCTGGTCCCCTTCCTGCCACGTGGGGAGGGGGCAGTGCCCACCTGAGGGAGGGGACGGCCGTGTGGAGAGACGAGGTAGGACGGTGACCCAGATCCTCAGTGAGCTCACCTCCTGGCCTCGGTTTGGGTTTGGGGCTTGGGGCTCACTTGCCAGAGAAGAGGCTTCGTCAGTCACAGCTTCCAGAAGGACTGGAGCAGTGCACAAAGTCAAGAGCATTACGTGAGAGAACCAGTTTCTCTGCCCTCTCACTAGCAGTCATCCTCGTGTATAATTGTGTAAACAAACAGTGAGAAAACGCTGTCGTCTGTGTTTGAGCAGCTTGTTAGGACAGGACTCACTTGAGCTCACTGCCCTAACCAGTCCCCACGTCATCTCACAGAGGTCAGGTTCCAGAGGCTGTCCATGAGTGTTGTCCAAAGCTTCTAGCCCCTACACACTTTCTACTAAATTGCAGTGTGTATTGGTCCTTTGAAGCTTAAAAATCCAGTGTATTTTATTCCTCACTGAGGTACATACTTACTGTTGGGTATCTGTTAATTTTTCCAAACAAACCCACAGTTTGCTCTAGAAAATTTGCCATGGCAGGTCATAATTTCGATGAGTCCCTTTCTGCTCTGTGGAAAAAAATCGGCAAGGGCCACATATCCTGGTTTGCCCACTTTATACTCATCATAATGTGATGACTCATAGCACCCCTTTCGCTGTCGAAAGTGGCCTCTTTTGGATGATAAATTACATTGTCACTCTCACCCCAGGGCTTCCTCAGCTGCTGAAGTATGTGTCTGTTCTTCCCACCTCACTTCTCCCCTGGACGACTTTCTCTCTGCCCAGCAAGGCCTTTAGCCATGCGGCTTTCTCTAGGCTTCCCCTGGAGGGCCTCACACGTGCCCAGCCTCTTTCGTGTATCACCACAGCCATGTCCTTGGTACTGTTTATTGAGCTTAGTATAACATCCTCTCATTTCAGTTCAGGCGCTCAGTCATGTCCAACTCTTTGCGATCCCATGGACCACAGCACACCATGCCTCCCTGTTCATCACCAACTCCCGGAGCTTATTCAAACTCACGTCTATCAAGTGAGTGATATCATCCAACCATCTCATTCTCTGTCGTACCCTTTTCTTCCCGCCTTCGATCTTTCCCCGCATCAGGGTCTTTTCAGATGAGTCAGCTCTTCGCATCAGGTGGTCAAAGTATTGGAGTTTCAGCTTCAGCATCAGTCCTCCCAGTGAATATTCAGGAGTGATTTCCTTTAGGATGGACTGGTTGGATCTCCTTGCAGTCCAAGGGACTCTCAAGAATCTTCTCCAACACCACAGTTCAAAAGCATCACTTCTTTGGTGCTCAGCTTTCTTTATAGTCCAACTCTCACATCCATACATGACTACCGGAAAAACCATAGCTTTGACTAGGCTTTGGTGTAGTCAATAAAGCAGAAATAGATGTTTTTCTGGAACTCTCTTGCTTTTTCGATGATCCAACTAATGTCAGCAATTTGATCTCTGGTTCCTCTGCCTTTTCTAAATCCAGCTTGAACGTCTGGAAGTTCACGGTTCACATATTGCTGAAGCCTGGCTTGGAGAATTTTGAGCATTACTTTACTAGCGTGTGAGATGAGGGCAATTGTGCAGGAGTTTGAGCATTCTTTGGCATTGCCTTTCTTTGGTATTGGAATGAAAACTGACCTTTCCCAGTCCTGTGGCCACTGCTGAGTTTTCCAAATTTGCTGGCATATTGAGTGCAGCACTTTCACAGCATCACCTTTTAGGATCTGAAATAGCTCAACTGGAATTCCATCACCTCCACTAGCTTTGTTTGCAGTGATGCTTCCTAAGGCCCACTTGACATTGCATTCCAGTCTGGCTAGATGTCTGGCTCTAGGTGAGTGATCACACCATCCTCTAGGTCCAGTTATATTGTTGCAAATGGCAAAATTTCATTCTTCTTTTATGGCTGATATTCCTTTCTATATATGTATATATATCCCATCTTTATCCATTCATCTATCAGTGGGCACTTAGCTTGTTTCCTTATCTTGGCAAATGTAATAATGCTGCAGTGAACATAGGCTCCCGGGTGCCCCTATATAGGCCTCACGGGCCCCTCTGTTGGGGTGGGGCTGGCTTCTGGGCATGCGCGTAGGCGGGGTGGTTCCCTGGCCCATGAGTTACCTGTGCAGTGGCTGCTGGCCTTCCGGTGGTCGGGGCTTGTCCACGGGTGACTGGCTGCAGGGCCTGCGGCGGTTCCGGACCACTGGAACCAGGCTGGTGCTGACGGGCTGGACGGAGGACGCCAAGATGGCCCTGGCCAGCAGCGGAGTAGTCGTGGGCGGAGTGAGCTTCTCAGGAGGGCGGCCATCAGCGCCTCTGTCCCCAGGAGGAGGCCTTGCTGCCTCTAGCTTCTCTAGATCGGCAGTTCACCACTTGCAACTTTTTAAAGTTATATCAGCTTTAAAGTTTATCCTAAATGTAAACTTTGCCTTATCAAATATAATAAGGTTATTTATAGTCACAGAGCACCTCAAAAGCCCTCATACAAACGCAGCAGGCAGGGCCAAGCTGAGTGAGCAGCACCAAGGACGAGATACACACAACTCCCGTCTCTGATTGGTCACAGGTGGAGTTTTGTTAACAAGATGAAAGTTTATAATAGAGAAGCTTCTGCGTCGGAAAAACAAGTGCATATTAACTCTCAGGGTGACTTCCTTCTGTACTTCAGTATATTTTAACTGGCTAACGGGCTCTGTGATTTGAGAGGCTCTGTTTTCCCCCAAACAAGTGCCTGCATGCCTGGGGTGCCCTGTCCATGTCCCGAAGGTGAAAAAGCCAGTGTTTGGAGCGCGAGAGCCTGCCAGGTTGAACTGGGGCAGGGTCACAGCGGGGCTTTGGTTCACAGGCCGTTTGGGGCCTGCAGTCCACAGGGCAGAGTCCGGAGTCGCGGTGCAAAACTGGTTTTGTATTTGTTTTAACCAGGTGACTTTCGGGTGGTGGTTGGAGAGGATAAGGCGAAAGTGTTGAACATCGTGAAGCCCAACATGGCCCACTTCCGGGATCTGTACGGCCGCATTCTGCAGGAGAGCCCCCAGGTGGTGTATCAGGCCCAGCGGGGCAGCCTGGAGGTGAGCGGTCGGAGGGACAGCATGGTCCGTCCTGAGGCAGGAGCCCGTGTAGAGGGAAAAGTAGGGCGAGCAGTACGACCAGTGAAGTAATGTGTTCATAGAAAGTACGTTTTGCATGTAAACATGTTCTCTGTGTATTTGAAATAAGGCTAAAAGGTAACATGAGAAACTGGTGACAGGAGGCTGCCTCTGGAGAAGGGGACTGGGGCTGACATGAGGCCGGGGGTGGGGACCGGTCTTCACCGTGTGTGTCTTTTGTGCCATTTGAACTTCTTGCTACTTATATTAATTATTAATCAAACACAAATAAAAACAAACTCTGAAATTACCTTCTTTTTGCCTCCAAACCCGTCTGCCTCCCAGAGTTGTCTCATTAACAGGTTGGTGTATTTGCTTCCAAATCTCATTGCATGCACTTTTGTGTGTATTTGTACATGTATACACATGTTCAGTTCAGTTCAGTTGCTCAGTTGTGTCCGACTGTTTGCGACCCCATGGACTGCAGCACGCTAGGCCTCCCTGTCCATCACCAACTCCCGGAGTTTACGCAAACGCATGTCCATTGAGTCAGTGATGCCATCTCACCATCTCATCCTCTGTCGTCCCCGTCTCCTCCTGCCCTCAACCTTTCCCAGCATCATGGTCTTTTCAAACAAGTCAACTCTTAGCATTAAGTGGCCAAAGTTTTGGAGTTTCAGCTTCAACATCAGTCCTTCCAATGAACACCCAGGACTGATCTCCTTTAGGACGGACTGGTTGGATCTCCTTGCAGTCCAAGGAACTCTCAAGAGTCTTCTCCAACACCACAGTTCAGAAGGATCAATTCATCTGCGCTCAGCTTTCTTTATAATACAACTCTCACATCCATACATGACTACTGGAAAAACCATAGCCTTAACCAGACAGACCTTTGTTGACAAAATGATGTGTCTGCTTTTTAATATGCTGTCTGGGTTGGTCATAACTTTTCTTTCAAGGACTAAGCATATTTTAATTTCATGGTTGCCATCACTATCTGCAGTGATTTTGGAGGCCCCAAAAATAAAGTCAGCCACTGTTTCCACTGTTTCCCCATCTATTTGCCATGAAGTGATGGGAGCAGATGCCATGATCTTAGCTTTCTGAATGTTGAGCTTTAAGCCAACTTTCTCACACTCCTCTTTCACCTTCATCAAGAGGCTCTTTAGTTCCTCTTCACTCTCTGCCATAAGGGTGGTGTCGTCTGCATGTCTGAGTTATTGCTCTTTCTCCCGGCAGTCTTGATTCCAGCCTGTGCTTCCTCCAGCCCAGGGTTTCTCATGATGTACTCTGCATAGAAGTTAAATAAGCAGGGTGACAATACGCAGCCTTGGCGTACTCCTTTTCCTGTTTGGAACCAGCCTGTTGCTCCATGCATGAAGCAGTTCGGTCTTTCTCGTTTGGCTCTATCTTACGTGAGCGCATTCACACGTGCTATTCCAAAGCTTGTTTTCCCACTTGTTATACACCTTGTGTCTTGGGACTTTTCTTTTGACACAGCAGACAAAACTTTCACAGCACTTTTCAAAAAAATGTTCAGTTTTTTGAAAATAAAAGTCAAAAAACCTTTCCTTTGAAAAATGTAATTTGGATATAAGATTGTTTTAACTATAGGATTCATGTTTTTTTTAATCTTTAAGATATGACTGTTAACTTTTTTGAAGCTCCTTCTCTTCCACATAATGGGGCAATTCATGTTGAATAACAAATTAATGGTATTTCTAGAACTGAAAGGAAACTTTAAAAAAACAGGAATTATTTTAAATGTAATATTCGGGAATAACATGAATGCCCAGAATACCCACCACTCAGGTTAACAGATTTTGCCATGTTTGCTTTAGATTGAGATATTTTTAATTTTTACTTTTCTAAAAGTAATGCATGCACACTTTAAAAACCAGGTGATACCCCAAGGTTTTTAACAAAAAGCAGCAGTTCCCTACTGCACACCTTCCTACTTGTCTGTGCTAATTCCCAGAGCAACTGCTTTCATCTCCTTCACTGCTTCTTCTGATGTTTATCTCCATATTTACAAGTAATATGATTTACTTGTTATTTGTTGATTTGTTTTCAATTTTGTACACTTTTTGTCATCCTTTTATGGAAAATGAGAATGTTTTACTCTCATGCACTCCATACACACACACACACACACACACAACACACACACACTCTCTTTCTCACGCATTCTTTCTTTCCATCTCTCTCTTCCCCACCACCCACTTATGCTCCACATATAGTTATCACATGGGCTTCCCAGATGGTTCAGTAATCTACCCAGATGGTTAAGATCTATCCACCTCCAATGCAGGAGATGTGGGTTCAATCCCTGAATCAGGAGGATCCCCTGGAGGAGGGCACGGTAACTCACTCCAGTATTCTTGCCTGGAGAATCCCATGAACAGAGGATCCTAGCAGGCTACAGTCCATGGGGTCACAAAGAGTCAGGACACAACTGAAGTGGCTGAGCATGCATGTATGCATAATTATTACATAATTTTAGGTTAATAGTCAAAATTTACTTTTTTAAGGAACTGGCTTTCTTCATTGCTGTGATATACTACTGTGAAATTTACTTTCCTGTGCAACTTTGTTTTTCTTGGAGTTGATCAGTCCATTTGTTCCTACTTGCTTAGTTTCTATGTTGTGGTTCAGTCACTAAGTCATGTCCAGCGCTTTGTGACTCCGTGGACTGCAGCATGCCAGGCTTTCCTGTCCTTCACTGTCTCCCAGAGTTTGCTCAGACTTACATCCATTGAGTCGATGATGCCATCCAACCTTCTCTCCTCTGCCGCCGCCTCCTCCTGCCCTGAGTCTTTCCCAGCATCAGGGTATTTTCCAATGAGTCAGCTCTTCACATCACATGGTGAAAATATTAGAGCTTCAGCTTCAGCATGAGTCCTTCGAATGAATATTCAAGGTTGATTTCCTTTAGGATTGACTGGTTTGATCTCTTTGCAGTCCAAGGGACTCTCAAGAGTCTTCTCCAGTTCGAAAACATCAATTTTTCAGTGCTCAGCCTTCTTTATGGTCCAACTCTCACATCCGTACCTGACTACTGGCAAAACCATAGTTTGGACCATACAGACGTTTGTCAGCAAAGTGATGTCTCTGCATCCTAATACACTGTCTAGTTTGGTCATAGCTTTTCTTCCAAGGGACGTCTTTTAATCTCATGGCTGCAATCACTGTCTGCAGTGATTTTGGAGCCGAAGAAAGTAAAGTCTGTCAGTGTTTCCATTTTCTCCCCCATCTATTTACCATGAAGTGATCACACTGGATGCCATGATCTTAGTGTTTTGAATGTAGAGTTTTAAGCCAGCTTTTTCACTCTCCTCTTTCACCTTCATCAAGAGGCTCTTTAGTTCCCCTTCACTTTCTGTCATTAGGGTGGTATCATCTGCCTATCTGAGGTTGGTGATATTTCTCCCAACAGTCTTGATTCCAGCTTGTCATCCAGCCCAGTGTTTTTAATGATGTATTCTGCATGTAAGTCAAATAAGTAGTGTGACAAAATACAGCCTTAATGTACTCCTATCCCAATTTTGAACCAGTTTGTTGTTCCATGTCCGGTTGCTTCTTGATCTGCATACAGGTTTTTCAGAAGGCAGGTAAGGTGGTCTGGTATTCCCATCTCTTTCAAGAATTTTCAACAGTTTGCTGTGATACACACAGTCAAAGCTCTTACTTAGCGTGGTCAATGAAGCAGAAGTAGATGGTTTTTTTTGGAATTCTCTTGCTTTTTCTGTGACCCAGTGGATGTTGGCAATTTGACCTCTGGTTTCTCTACCTTTTCTAAGTCCACCTTGTACATCTACATCTGAAAGTTCTTAGTACACATACTGTTGAAGCCTAGCTTGAAAGATTTTGAGCATTACCTTGCTAGAATGTGAAATGAGCGCAATTGTGTGGTGGTTTGCACATTCTTTGGTATTGGAATGAAAATACCTTTTCCAGTCTTGTGGCCACTGCTGAGTTTTCCAAATTTGCTGGCTCATTGAGTACAACATTCTACCAGCATCACCTTTTAGGATCTGAGATAGCTCAGCTGGAATTTCATCAGTTCTACTACCTTTGTTCACAATAATGCTTCCTAAGGCCCACTTGACTTCACACTCCAGGATGTCTGGCTCTAGGTAAGTGACCATTCCACGGTCGTTACCCAGGTCATTAAGACCTTTTTTGTATGGTTCTTCTGGGTAGTCTTGCCACCTCCTCTTAATCTCTTCTGCTTCTTCTAAGTCCTTACCGTTTTTGCCCTTTATCAGGCCCATCTTTGCATAAAATGTTCCCTTGGTATCTAATTTTCTTGAAGAGCTCTCTAGTCTTTCCCTTTCTGTTTTGAAAGGAAATTGTTTTCCTGTACTTCTTTGTGGTATTCACTTAAGAAGGCTTTCATTTGTGTTCTTGCTTTTCTCTGAAACTCTGCGTTCTGATGGGTATGTCTTTCCCTTTCTCCTTTGCCTTTCACTTCTCTTCTTTTCTCAGCTATTTGTAAGACCTCCTCAGACAATCATTTTGCCTTCTTGCATTTCTTTTTCTTAGGGATGGTTTTGGTCACTGCCTCTTACACAGTCTTACGAACCTCCATCAGTAGTTCTTCAGGCAGTCTATCAGATCTAATCCCTTGAATGTATTTGTCATTTCCACTATATAATCATAAGGGATTTGATTTAGGTCATACCTGAATGGCCTACTTTCTTCAATTTAAGTCTGAATTTTGCAATAAGGAACTGATGATCTGAGCCTTAGTCAGCTCCAGGTCTTGTTTTTGCTGACCATATAGAGCTTTTCCATCTTCTGCTACAAAGAATATAAAGTGAAAAAAAGTGAAAGTCACTCAGTTGTGTCCAACTCCTTGCGACCGCATAGACTCCAGGCCAGAATACTAGAGTGGGTAGCCTTTCCCTTCTCCAGAGGATATCCCGACCCAGGGGTTGAACCCATGTCTCCTGCATTGCAGGCGGACTCTTCACTAGCTGAACCACAAGGGAAGCCCAAGAACACTGGAGTGGGAAGCCTATCCCTTCTCCAGCAGATCTTCCCGACCCAGGAATCAAACCAGGGTCTCC